GCACACGCCCTCAAGGTCAATGTCACCAATGCCCCTTCCCCAGGCCCACCACGCACCCTCTCCACTGGCATTTGTGGAGAACTGAGTTTGAGCGTCCGTTTCAGTTTAGGTTAACCTTAACCTTCTGAGAAGTCTCCACTTGCAGCACTTGGTCATAGAAAACTCTGGGGCAATCTTGGGCTTTCCAGGTGTGTCCCTGCTTGCTGCCACAGCCGCACAGCCTGGAGGACAGAAGCTTCCTCAAGCTGCTCCCCCTGGGGGTGGACCCTGCCTGTTGGCGGCCGGTGCTGTAGATCAGCCTATTCCCTCCGGTGTCGTGCTCAGAGCTCCCTCATTAGGCCTAAATTTACCTCCGTCCTACACAAACACGCCTTAGCTCATTTTTATTGTTGTAAATTATTTATGCGGGAAATGTTGAATCTTGAAGCTGAGGTGTGAGGAAAATTAATCCCATGTTACTTTTATCTTTCTGCACTTTACTCTGCTGCCTTGACTTATTGGGCTATGGCTAGAGAGCGCAGAGCACTGGCATTTTAAAGCATCATTAGTGTTGACGCTGCCTTCTTGTTTGGATAGGACCCTGACTTCCCTCTTGGTCGCCTAAGGGAAAGCCAATGGGCTGAGGAGAAAGGATTCCGGGACCCTGTGGCTCTGCTGACCACCTGATACTAAGCCCCTCAATGTTCGCACCCGTAAAATGGGAATAACACCCCTTACCCAACCACCTCCTAGGTTTGGTGTGAGCATCCACTGAGATGAAGCACAAGAAAGCTTTTGGAGAATTATTGCAAAGTGCCCTACAAAACACCAAACCAAATCCAACTCACTGCCATCGAGTCAATTCTGACTCACAGCGAACACAGACGACAAGGTAGAACTGATCCTGTGGGTTTCTAAGATGAACTCTACTGGAGTTCGTAAAGAAACCTCCTCTTTCTCTCTCCATGTGGCTGGTGGTTTAGAACTTTAGACTATGTGGTTAACAACCCAACACATAACCATCACACCACCAGGGCCAGGGAAGCTTGGTAGTGTGTTTTGTGTGGAGGCCAGGTTTTGGAAGCGGATGTTGGGTGAGACGTGTCAAGGTTGGAACTAGGGGTTGTTGCCAGGAGGCCTGGGTGACTCAGTCCATACCACCTCTTGACAGACGTGTTACTGTCTATTTTAAATGCCCTGCTCCCTTCTCCGCCTCCTGCTCCTCACTGGCTCCCATTAATGGCCTCTTCTCCCCCTGGCAGGGACCTGGCCTGTGACCCTGGGCGGGTGCAAGCTCCATGGTGCCATCCCTTCTGGCCGAAGGCTCCATACAGTCCGGGAAAACATGGAGTGCGAGTTAATAAATGGCCTTTTGTTAGGAAGGTCAATTGAAGTGACGGTAGAGATGCTGTTAAAAGTAATTTGCAGTCAGAAAATATGTAATTCAGGGCAAGCTTCTTTGAGTGATTGCCTCTGCCATGGATATCTTGGGCGTTTCTCATTAAAAGCTTCCTTAGCTGGTGCCGCTTCCTCGGCGGTGGAGCCCAGCCGCAGCCCGAGCCACGCGGAGCCATTTGTCTATATTTCACAAAGGCTGCCTTGATCCCCAGGGTACAGCTACTGGTGCGGGCGGAGGTGGGGGGTGGGGGTGGGGGAGAAGCCTGCATCTGGGATGCTCTGTGCTAATGCTCTGTATGCCAGGCCTCATCCAGCAGGCTGGGGTCCGAGCAGGCCCAGGCCCAGGCTGCTGGCTCCTTTGTCTGCGGCGGCTGGGAGGCAGCCTGCAGCCATCTTGACGAGTGCTGCTGGGCTGCTCTCTCTGCTGCATTCTGGGAACAGCATCGCTCCTCGGCGAGTGCATTTCCCAGACCGCAATTGATATCAGTATGCTTCAGAGCAAAAGAGGAGCGCTGAGGATATTGTGACCCGAGGACATGAATCTATCAGCAAATAAAATCTCACTTATTCCAATGCTTTCTCCTCCTCTCTTCCCTCTCCTTCTTTCTGAGAAGGGTAGAGGCAGTGCTATCTTGATGGGGGGGGGGGGGAACCCCACCTCACATGTTCTTTATTAAATACACAGCATGATATTTTAGCACTGGCAACATTGGTACATTCTGTTAATGAGTTGCTAATTGCAAAGCATTTCGGTAACCAACAGCAGATACTGATATTTTGCAAATGGCAGCAATTACCAAAGACGGGATTTTTTTCAAGTGAAGATGCTTTTTGATCAGGGCTTGCTTTCGATTGGGTGGAGGTAGATGATTTAATTAGAAGCCTCCTTCTTTGGGGGCCGTGCACACATACTCATGCAGTAAATATGTACACACTGCCTACTGTGTACAGAAAGCACCAAGCCCCGAATTTGATGGAGACAACCTGGACATGAGCTATGAAAACAGGAAACGATGCCTTGGTGCAGCCAGGTAGCCTGCTTGCTGCCCTGGCCTCCCAGTAGCTTATGTGCAGTAGAATTAAGTAATGCAAAATGTTGAGCTTTTGTTTTAAACAGAAGCCCATGGTGCTGCTGGTGCCAGGCGCTTCCTGGCTTCGGTCGGAGATTGGCTTCTGTGTTTGGACTAATCTGTTCCTGGAGCTCGCTCTGGGTTCCAGGAGACGGTGACTACTACGTGGGTGACAAGCACACAGTGTTGTGATTGTTCCCACTTAGGAGGTTACCATCATTTCTTAATGGCCTCTGCCTTTTCTGATCATCTACTGAGCAGTGAGGCTATTCCTCTTGCCCGCCTGGTTAGGCAGGCTATTTGGTTTGCTTTCGAAGCCGTAACCAGCCTGGAGAGCCCTGGCAGACCTAAAGCCAGTGGAATTTAATTGCTGTGGAAGAGGGTAGAATTTAACTTGCTCTTTCTCCCAGCTTGTCCCTTTCAAAGTGCTTGAAGATCATTTACATAAGGTGTTGCCTTTTTTATTTGCTTTCTGGTACCTTGCCACTCCGGCTGCCCGGACCCAGCGCTCCCTATATTCTGCCTGTCTCCTCTAGTTGCATCAAGAGGCAGTCAGCGGCAGAATAATAATTCCGCCCCCTCCCTTTTTTCTCCCCAAGTGCCCAGCAAGAATTATGGTCATTGTTAGTGTTTAGCTTTGAGTAAATGCCCACATGACCTGGGGGGTTAAACACACAAAAGGATCTGCCAGGCCTGTAGGAACTGGTTTCCAAGCACGTTTCTGACCAAGTTCTACTGGGGCCCCCGTGCATTCTGAACCTTGGTGGTGGCATCTGCCGTGCGTTTAGTGCCTCCTGCGTGCCAGAAACAGCTTCAGGCCCTTCAGTTACATGGTCTCGCTCAGGCCTTAAAACAGCTCCTCGAGGGTCTCAGGATCTCAGCCTCTTTTTGTAGATGGAAGAATCGAGGCTCCAAGAGGTGCAATCACTTGTTCAGTCACTAGCTAGTGTCGCCGAGCCTGGATTTGAACATCCTGCCCACGCCTCCATATGTGACTACCAAGATCCTTCTCTTTTGCCAAGTTTCCGCCTGCTGAGTAGTCTAACCTTGGTCTTGGTGGAGGCTGTGCAGTTGGAGGGCTGCGCCTCCACCAAGAGGGAATGCGAGGGAAAGAAACGGAGGGGTTGGTAGAATTAGTCCTGGCTGGCTTATCCTCAGAGAAACTGCTGGTAACTGTCAGAAATCAGGCAGTTGGATTGTAAAGTGGAGAGCGGCTAGCTCAGGGTTTGAGTCAGCGTCACCGGGGACCGGCCCACAGTAGCTACGTTCATCCATCCAGTTTTCACAGCTAACTTCGGAAAAGCAGGGGCCAGAGGTGGTTTGAATGCTAGGTCCCAGGAAAGGGTTGGCCCCTTCACCTAGACCAGGACATAGCCCAGGACATTGCCCCCAAGATTCTGGTTCTGTTTGACATTTTGCTTTGCTCCCTTTCAACGCTGAATGTGAACGCTGTGCTTTCTTTTTCCTTCTCTGAACCAGGACCAGTCCACCATGCCTGAAGTCAAGGACCTTTCTGAAGCCTTGCCAGAAACATCAATGGACCCCATCACGGGAGTGGGGGTGGTGGCTTCTAGGAACAGAGCCCCGACAGGCTATGACGTAGTAAGTCAAGATCCTAGTTTGTACTTCTTAAATTTACCTCCTGTTTTCAAGACATTCTTAACCTTGGGTATGAGGTGTGGCTGCAGCGGTTAGGTGCCTCATGTGGATCCCCATTCGTGGCGACCCCACAGGACTGAGTGGAATGGCCCCCTAGGGCTTTCTAGGGATGTGATCCTGATGGGATGGATCTCCAGGTCTCTCCCGGGAGCTGCTGGATGGGCTTGGCCCACCAACCTTGCAGTGGACAACTGGGCACTTGACATTGTGCCCCAGGGCACCAGGGAAGGAAAGCATCCCCACGGAGGGCTGGCTGTGTCCTGCTTTGGGAGTCCGAAGACCTCATGGAGTGGCAGGCTGTCTGGACTGCCCTCTGGCCTTGCCCGTGGCTATGTTACTTGACCCCGACCAGTGGTCATTCTCATCTTCTGGAAAAGTAAGGCTTGGGTGCATTGATCCCGAAGCGACTTATTTCGGACACTTTGTGAACAGGATCCAAGAGTCTGTGAAAGCCCTACACGTAGCGTGATCTCCACTTTTGCTGACAAAGAGCCCCAAGCCTTCCAAATGTTAAGCAGTAGAGCACTAATCAATCCTCGCGAGTGGTGAAGCAGGCCCCTGGGCTCTGGCCGGCCCCACCCGGCAGGTGGGCAGAGCTCTGCCCCTGCTTTCCTGAGCAGCAGACCTCAGGGGTGGTGTTCTGCAGCACTGGCAGTTATTCTGCTATGGCAATAGCTAAATTCTGCTTTGGGTGGGGCTTGAAAAATACAGTGTAGCTTTCCCACTGCCCCCAAGTCCACTTTGGATCTTAGTGACCCTGTAGGACAGAGTAGAGCCAGTCCTTGCAGTTTCCCAGACTGGAAATCTTTGTGGGAGCAAATGACCCTATCGTTGCCCTCTCCCGAGGAGCAGCTGTGGGATTAAACGATGGCCCGCGATGGGGCCAGGACTCCTTGGGGCCATTCACAGTGACTATTAATTGTCACATATTCGGAGACACTGAAGTTCTCGTTTTCTCGCTGGCAGCGTTTTCCTCTCCGCACTCACTGTGTTCCAACTGTGCACCTGCCCCGTGACCAGAAAGCTCTGCTTCTAGGGACGGGAGGGAAGCCCTGGGCAGGGTTCCCTAACCTTGGCCTCTGGACACCGTGGACCAGATATCTCTTTGTTGTGGGGGCTGCCCCGTGCTCTGTAGGAGAGTTAGCCGGGATCCTGGCCTCTGCTAGATGCCTGTAGCGTCGCCCCCCTAGCTGTGACAGCCAAACGTCTCCAAACACTGTCAGAGTCCCGGGGGGGAGCAGGCTGTGGGAGAAGCCACCACTCCCGCCGCCCCCCGCCGCCCGTGTAGCGGCCGATGTAGATGGGCTCACTCATTTTGGGGTGCGGTGTGGGCGAAGAAAAGCCGGTTAAAATGTTCCCCATCGCTTTCCTCGCTGTTTGAAAGCTTATAAGCAGTTTTAAGCGTGAAAGACCGGGGGAATCTTTGCTGACAAAGATTTGAGTCTTACCTGCTGCTTGACTTCAAAGCACTGTTTGAACTTATCACTTTCCATAAAATAGAATCATTAGGAATGGCTTCGTGCCATAAAACTCTTGGGGAAGCTAATAAAAATGTTCCTGATTTGAGAAGCCAAAGTGTCTTTTGATGAATTAGAGATGAAGTAGCAAGTCGTGAATCGTGGCTGGGAGCGCATGCCGAGTGGGAGGGCGGGCTGGGCCATCTCGCTCTTCCTCTCTCTTTCAGGAGGGCTCCCGCCAGCAGCTGAACCCCAGGGCATGCTGCTCGGTGCCCTCTCGAGGGGCTCTGGTGTGGAGCGGTGGCTCTCATGTTCTGTGTGTACCTCGGGGTCATGCGGCATGCTCGGCGAGGGGGCGGTAGGTGGCCTTTGAGAGTCTGGCTTTCCTGAAAGTCGCACTAAGTGTGACAGGGGCAGAATCTATCCCTATCATTTTCTCCGAACATCGCGCTCAGGGCAGGAGAGCAGAGTGTCAAATGAGTAAAATTAATAAGCACATTCCATGATTATGCCGCACCATGCCTGATCATGAAAGGTGAGCAGGGCACGGGGCCAGCCTGGCAATTACCCAGCCTCTGGGAGGCCAGAGCCGAGTGTCCAAGCTCCCTCTAAAAGCCCTTTCAGGCAAAGTGGTGGGAGTTCTTCTTTACCCTGACCTTTGTACGCTTCTCAGAGAAGCATCTTGTTCCATAGGGCTCTGATCCCAAGTTCAAGGGGAATAGGCTGGGGTGAGGCGGGGGTGGGGGGGGTGAGGACAGACACTCTCCGTTTCTTTCATCTGGGGTGGTGCATGAAGGCCACATTCCGCCTGAATATACAAGGCGCTTTATGGTGACCAGGCGGTGAGAGCAATGTGTAGACAAGGGCTCAGCTGGATGAGGACGCCCAGCTGCGGGGGTCTGGCGAGACCCCTGCGTGTGGCATCCACTGTAGAATTGATCCCTCTCTGTGCCGCAAGGACTTGAAGCCCTGCTCTCTCCCAGCCCAGCGAGCTCAGCCCCAGCCAGCTGCTGACCCCAGGTCGCACAACTGTTGCTCAGTGAACATAGGCCCCGCCGCTGTTAGAAACAGCAAGATGCCCAATGTTCTTCCCTAAAAATCGCACTTGATTACTTGCCTTCTCTTCAGGTCAGGGGAAGCTTCTTAGGCAAAACCCAAGTAAACTCACTGCCATCAAGCCAATTCCAATTCATAGCGACCCTCTAGGACAGGGTGGAACTGCCCCTCTGAGTTTCCCAGACTATAGCTCTTTGTGGGAGTAGGAAGCCCCTCTTTCTCCCACCGAGAGGCTGACGGTTTCTAGTGGCTGATCTTGTGGTTAGCAGCCCAGTGCGTAACCACCGTGCGAGCAGGGCTCCTGCCGGCTAAGAGGCAGGCGAGGGGTTATTTATGAAATATCTCTATTTATTGTCTCTATTTCTATTATTTTCTCTTAAACAACCCTCCCCCCACTTCCTATTGGTCGTGGGGGTGATTGGCAGAGGTTGGGATGGATCACAAGCGCCCTAGAAATGATGCCACGTGCCTGGCTTGGCGGCTCTGCCGCAGTGGACTGGCACGGTTGAAGGCCATGCTCGCTACTTGATCACATACGTGTGATCAGTTTTCAAAGAATCGAATGCTACAAGAAACACTTTATGCTAAAGCTCCCCCATCCCTAATTTAATCTTTGATTTTGGAGTCACCTGGGACTTGACAGATCTAAGGTTCGTCAAATTGGACCATGTAAATCACCATTGTTGGATGAATATCTCTGTATTTCCAGTGAATGGCTTTTACCCTACATTCACTTACCTTCCTAAACAAGCATTTATAATTCACTAACCAAACCCACAACTACATTTTTTAGATGACTCTTTCCAAGAAAGAATATGATTTTCCTTGATAATGTGTATATATCTCCAGACTTCAACTGGGAAAAGAAAGTGAAAATAAGCGTACGCACCACTTGGTCTTGATTTTAAACTGAGTATTTCTTCAGCCTTTTGATTTTGAGCACCTATTAGGTGCCAGCATAAGAAAGGCCAGGTTTTCCACTCCTGAAAAAAGTTACAGTCCCATAAATCCATAGGGACAGTTCGACACTGTCCTACCGTGTTTCCCCCAAAATAAGACAGTGTCTTATATTAATTTTTGCTCCCAAAGATGCGCTAGGTCTTATTTTCAGGGGATATCTTATTTTTCCATGAAAAAGAATATGGTACACCTTTATTGTTTATTGTTTTATTAAAAGAGACCTCGCACTTCCTTTCTGCTCCGGCTGCGCTGCAGCCAACAGTGAGCTGCGTGGTGGCACCCACTGCTACGGTCCAGAGTACAGAGTTACGGTAGCTGGGGGAGGCTTATTTTGGGGGAGGTCTTATTTTCAGGGGATGTCTTACTTTCGGGAAAACAGGGTATCAGGTCGCTATGAGTCAGAATCAACTTGATGGCAGTGAGTTTGGTCTTCTTGGTTTACTAGGTGCCAGCTGGGCTCTGGTGTTACAGTGGTAAACCCAAACCTATATAGTCCCTGCCTTTAGGAAGCTTACAATGACGAGAGGAGAGAGGAAGAAAGATCTTCAAATGATCGCACAGATGGTTTAACATAAAAGGGTGGTCTGAAGGGAAGTCCTTACCGATCACTTATCTTCAGCCTCTGGCCACCTTGACTGCTCACTCCCTGATTTTGACAGAGTCCCTTCTTGAAGTTGTTCCCTTCCTGCCTAACCCACCCAGCCAAGTGTCTGCCCTCCACATTGTTCTAGGCATCCCCCAGGGCAGTTCCTTACGTGGACTCAGGGTGATTCTGCTCCGGCCTTGTTCCCCTCATGATGCCCGCCCCCCAGGTTGTTCTTGTTGGTGCCATCCCTGAGCCCTCCACTTGGGTCATGTAGCTCCCTTCCTCCCCGGGCAGCTGCTGCTCCCATCTTTGGCCTACCTTTAGTCGTCCTGGAGTCCTGGGGGCATAGTGGTTACATGTTAGGCTGCTAACCATAAGATCGGTAGTTCAAGACCACCATCCAGCTTCTCGGGAGAGGGACAGGGCTTTCTACTCTCATAAGAGCGCTTAGTGGGGGTCCAGGAGGGGAGCTTGGAGGGCAATGGGGAGCTCATAGTGAGGATGAGAAGGAAGAAAATGTTCTAGAACTGATTGTGGCGATGATTACTCAACTCTTTTTAATACGACTGAACTATGGACATGTGCGACATGTGAATTACATCTCAGTGGAACAATTTTTTAAAATCATAGTCTCGGAAACTCACAGGAGCAGGTCTACCCTGCTCCATAGGGTCACGATGAGTCATTGACTCGATGACCTTGAGTTTGGTCTTTAATCCAGCAACCCAGAAGGGCCCGAGGGCTGTTACACCTTAGAGTCCAGGACAAATAGAACCAGCCTCAGAGAAGGAGATTCCTTTTTTTCTCTTTCCTCACTCCAACCTAAGACCGCCCCCATTTCCTTCCTGAGAAACCCCACCCTGCACACAAGAGCCCTTTTGGCT